CATCTATACAAAACATGTTGGTATTTTTTAAATTCCAGTGAAATATATTTATGTTTGTGGTTGTAATGTGACAAAATATGGAAAAGTTCAAGGGGTATGAATACTTTTGCAAACCACTGTAAATCTGGAGCAACAGAAAAACAGAAAAAACTAAAAGACAATAATGAATTATTTGATTGATTATTTGATTGTTAAATCTGATTTTGTATCTTTGAAACAACATTCTTTATCTCCATTGTCTAAATTATGCAAATGGCTACCAGATCACTTGGTAACAGGATCCTGGTCTTGTAAACAAGTGGTTTCACTCGGAACTAAATGGAAAGCTTATTCATGAGATTCTTTTAGTAACTTTTACTGTGCCATGCTACAGGAAGCATCTTTACTTCTGCTATTTATTGTGTTTTTATAAACTGCCAGGTACAAAATGTCAAACTAAAATATGAATATACTGTCACTGACTCACAGCTCTGCATGGTGACACGTCAGAAAAAGTAGGATGCGACTCTAAAATAATAGGCAGTCACATAATTAGTTAAACGTTTAAATATGTGAATTATTTTAACACATAAAATAGCAGAAAATACAGTCAAGAAAATTTTATACAAGTACCAAATGAGTCCAAACTGGGAGTCAAAACGGTAAGAAAAAATTATTTTAGGGTAGTGTGGGTCTGTTTGATTAATCAAATGCATTATTAGCATGCTAAATGCTAATTCACAGCAGTGAGGATAAAATGTGCTTCCTTTTTTAAGGACTTATAATTAGTGAAAGATATAAGTGACGAGATTTCTGTGATGACTTAAATAGCTTAATAAATACTTTATTTTGTGAATATCTAAGGTGTCCAGAAAAATGTAAAATAATAAAATAAAAAAACATGGATGCCAAATCATTATTTTAAAACTTCCTTAAGGAGCATTGTTTTGGTTAGGTTAATGTTACTTTGTTCACCTCAGACATTATTTATTTTGAAACTCCCAGGTATGAGATGGTGACAGCGAAACAAAGTTGACTAAGTTTTAGTAAGTGTGAAGATGTTTTAAAAGGATGCAGTCATACAGGTTAAAAAGGGAAATTGAATATCTGTCCAATTATGACATGATATGAGGCAATAGAAAATTTCAAGGGAACTTAAAAGGCAAAGTCAGCAGAACAAACCACCTATAATGGGAACYGGAAAGAAAAAGATCTCTAAAATAAACACATTGTCTTAAATGTTTCTGAAAAAATGAGCTGTAGACAAATTAATTTTATGTTTGTAATAAATAGGTGTGACCTCTTTATACGYATTTTTAAATTAGCACTACACTACCTTCTGCTGCTGTAATACTATAAAACTTACAAAATATATTTGCATTTTGCTTTGATAAGCAGTTAAAGATGTCAACTCAAAGTTAAATTTAGTGTCTGAAATAATTGGTTTGTTTGTGTGGCCTTAAAAGTCTAATTCACAGCTAACATTACAGAATCTGAATATAAGATATTAAARCAAGTATTAAAAAATGATTCTGTTAGCATCTGTGACAAAGACTGCTGGTTTACCAGTGTGTCGTGTGACAGACACATGAATACTTAAAGGCCATAGGACACCCTGGTGCAGGCAGACAGAAACACAAAGRTCTGCCTTCTTGACAACATGCTGCTGATAGACAGGCCTAATATCCCATGGGCCACTTTGACCTTGAGGTCCTGTTTAACACAAAACTGTTTTTAGGTGAAGCCGTAGCCTTTCTGCTATATGTGAGCTGTGTGCAAAACCAGTCTTTTTCTCTGACATCGAATGGTTTTTAATCCAGGTCTCCGAGTGGAGGTTTTTGGTTCAAGTGAAAGTGCAGAAAACATGAAGTCACGTGTGCGCTGCAGGCGGCTGCAGCCAATAGTTTTTCTGCGCTTCTGCTGTTGATGAACAACAGTAACAATGGAGGACAGCCATGTGCTGTTTGTGCTACTCATCCTTTAACATGCAGGCACAAAGCAATCTCATCCTCAGTCCAAACGTATGTTACATCATCCATTTTGGATGCCACTGTTYTCATGGTCAAGACTGAATTGTTTTTGCACATATGTGTCTCATAAACACAAAAAAAATCACACCACCAACTGATGAACTAGCAGGAAACTACAGTGGATTCAACGTGCACAGCATTACAGAGCAAATGTGTAGCTTTTTCACAGTCAGCATCAGGAAATCACTTTTTAAGTGATCCTTCATGTAAACAGGGCCTAAGAACAGGATCTTTAAAGGGGAAACACAAAAAACCAACACTGCCACAGCCATGTCTCCATTTAAATAAAGTTGCAGAGACAAAACTATTATTTTTTACATCCGAATCATTTTATATTCCAAGACCTCAGAGGGAGGAGACTGAGACACCAGATGATAATCAGATGTCGGAGCCAAACTGATCACACTCACCGTCTGAAAACACTAAACGGGACAGCTTGTGTGTTATCCTCCTGCAGCATACACACAATAGCTAAATGGCTCTGAATTAATCAGGCATGTGAATAGACAACGTAGTCACACAGTTCAGTATCCTGGATACAAGCCAGCATAATACGGGAGGGATGGATGATAACAACTAACTGCCTGTTCACCTCTAAGCAGAAGCAATAAGGAWATCCTCACAATCTGCATCTTAAACTACAGGTTGTCACACAATTAAACTGAATAAGGCTGAAACTAAATAACACAAAAGATAATGCTATTTTAAAATGTTCTTGCAATGAGACATACACTGCAGGTGATAAGTGTAAGACAGAATGAGAATTCAACATCCTTAGGAGTTACACATTCCAGAAGAACAATAATGTGGGGCTGCCAAAAATGTTGCAGTCAGGAGTCCAAATCTCTTAGCCTGACATGTGACTGACTAAAAAAAAACATGTTAAGAGCTGTGTGCACACAGCATACAAAGAGCAGAAAACAGTTTSAAATTGACATTATAAAACTTGTGAAGATGTGAATACTTACTTGTAACAGAGATGAGAGCAATCAACACTTTGAGCTACAACAAAATGCTTAAATGTCACAGTAATAACAGAGATAAACACAAAGATCATTGTGCAATAAGCCAGAAAGAGAGAAAATCTAAGGAGCCTTAATCATCTTGGCAAACTATAAATAAATAAATAAAATACACGAGGCACATGACAGAGCAACGCACTAATTAGCATGAAGGCCACCCACCACGATCAGGTTGCTTTCTATGAATTCCAGCAAATCTGAAGAACCACAACCAGGACAGATACACAAAAGTCCCATTCTAGCTCATGTTAAGATGTTATTTCTGACCGTCAACTTAAAGTTGATGTGTTGATTATGCAGGAAAATAACTGCCACCACCCCAGCAAACCAAGTAAATAAAAGCAAAACCAGTTAGGCGCAGAGAGGAAGCGATAGAGCAGGTTGATTTTGCTACATGAAGATAAATATCACCTTATTTTCATCGTTAGAATCTCCATTTCTCTCCGGTGTTTCGGACAACTCAACACGGTGTTTTGTCTCCTCGCCTGCAGAGACTGCACTGACTTTCAGACTACCCTCGTTCTGCTCCTGAAAGTCCTTCTCACAAGCTGCTGCACGGTCGTCGTCACTGTTAATATCAATGTCATACATTGCATCTTCTGTGTCCTCTCCACCCCTGCTACTGTCTACACTCTCCGGAGTCAGATCCTCCCTCAAGCTCTCCTTTGCTTTATCAGCCTCACAGTCCTGCTGAGGGTCCTCGGCTGAGGTCTGCCCCGCCTCAGCCTCAAGACTAACATCAGACATACCTGAAAAAAGAGACAGGATGGTATGAACAGGTCCTACAAGCCTGCCTGACTTTTCACTTTGCAGCATTGTGAGCAATAAATATCTAACCTGCGGCAGATGGTAAAGTTAAGTATTGTAAGCACTAGGTGCCAGAGTATAATATAAATGGTTGTGATGATCAAATTAATGTTTTGAATTACAAGATTTTAACTTGACTTCAAACACTCAAAAACCACCACCGATTGTTGGCAAATGGCTGTTTGAAGTATCTCAGTTTGAAAATATTAAGTTTATTCTGATGAGCTAACACCTTGTCCAACTGGGACCAAGACCAAAATGAATAGCTGCCGTCTTAAAACTAATTATCTGAGAAACTTCACATAAGTTCACGTGAACCTTTGCACCACTATCAGGTTTGCTACAGCTAGCCTCTGCTGCACATTATCTGTGCTTGCAAATGACCATAAAATTATATGAATACAACCATAAAGGCTAAACTGATGGTGATATTTTAGAGCATGTGATTGAAGTAGAACGGCAGTCCACTGCGATCATGACCCCAGTTGGACCAGCTTTTTAGCTCATTAATAAAATGAACATATTTCTCCAAACAGAAGTCATTCAAAAAGCTTATCTACAACAGATTTATTTATTATCAATCTTTACTTAACCATACTTAACCAGGCAAATCCCACTGAGATCACAAATCTCTTTTCCAAGGGAAGCCTGAGCCTGAAGGCAGCCAAACATGCATGTTTTTGGACTGTGAGAGGAAATATATCATTTTCATTTTATTTGTGATTTSTATTTTTATTATATTATAAATTTATTTAGTTATTTTTAAAGAAACCAATAAAGTAAAAAAAAAGAAATCAGAGTACCTCACACAAACACTGCTGTAAACAAATTAGGTAAGCAATTTTTTTTAAATTTAACACAGAATTTTGCTTTCAAATGTCACTTTAAAGTAACAATGACGAGGGGCAAAGCTGTAAAGAAGATAACAAATGAAGATGAATGGTAGAAAAACCAAGACACATCTACCCAGAACATTCCAAGCACATCCTCTGAAGCAGTGACAACTATATAAAGATGGCTGAGCCCCAATCACTTCCAACTGTACCTGTAGTTGGACTGGGCTCCTAAAATGATAACAGACTAATACTAAGCTTATAAATGTGAAGGGGAGGTTCATAAAAACAACGAGTAAAGCCACAGTTACATTCGTGTGTACTCACAAATACACCCTTAGATAATTTTATTGTTAATAATGACAGTATATTTTGTCTACATTTATCTAGTTGATGTAATAATTACATCACTTTTGGCATACTTAGAAATCGTGGGGTTCAACATAATTAGGAGTACATGATAATTATACTTGGCTTTTATCCAACAAGATAACGTGACTGGTTTATTTAGATTTCTAAATTTTATTATCTGTTTGGATTTTTATAGTATCTAATTTACCAGATAACACCGCTTCTTTTGCTCCCCTCAACCTCACATCCCGGAAAAGGCCTCTGCAACGTTGGACGAGGTTGGGCGTCTCACCTGTTGCAGCAATTAAGTCACGTGACTTACAAAGGCGACTAAAGGTGACAAATAAACCTCTTTAATTCTGCTTCCATCCACGGAATTGTGTTAAATACATGATTAAGCAATCAACACGCAGTTAAAGTAGGAATGAAAACTGTCCGTTTTGTTTGAGATGCCCTGAACGCCTCACTCCGGTCAGACTTATTATTTAGCTTACAGTAACTCTACTACACCGACAGCAAATTAAACGAAACTTGGAATAAAGCCATCCCCCTAGGTAAAAATCACTAAATGAATGTGGCGTGTGAGTAAGTCAGAACTAAAGAGAACGGCGAAGCTGGAAACTTGTGAACATTACCTGTCTGCGGATGTGGCTAACTAGCCGCTGCTGTAGTTAAATAAATCCTCAGCCGTGCCGCTGCGCCACACTTGACGTCTTTTGGAAAGGTGCTGCGAGTGTCGGTAATGCAAACGTTGCATAGAGGTATGCTACCGAATTATTATCGGTGGTCCTTGACGTTCTTTTACCACACCAGACGTGATGTTTGGACCCCGGAAAGAATTACCTATGTGTATTCACAGCTAGAGCATAACTTCATTTTTTGCTGCAGGCGAGCGCCCCCTGCTGTTAAAACACGATGATTGCATTTTTCTAGTTTTTTCCCTGAACAACTTTTTGATACATTACTGCCATCTACTGTTGTGGAGGACGAATATTAAACTCTTTTTAAACTAGCACTGCAGTGTTGCTGCAGTACAGGGTATCAGAGTGTTTACATAC